CCAGGAGGTAACTGCTTTGGAACCAGTTTAACATGGACCAAAGCCTCTAAAACCATGAGCCAAAACAAACCTTACCCCTCTAACTCATACATGTCTGATATTTTGTCCCACCAATGAAAAGGAGACTAATGTATGCACTAAGTGAAAATAAATAAATAGCCAATTACGTGAAGCAGAGCGAAGGAAAAGACAAATGAGTTAAGTGTGCTGAACTTTACACTTCAAAAGGGAAGACCATTGATACCCTTGTTTGTATTGACAAATTCAAAACAGAAATGTGGTTGCTATTAAGAGCTAATGATAATAAAAGAAAGAAGAATGGATAAGGATAGAAAGTGGTGACCTCTGGATAATGCAATTCAGGGAGAATATCATATTGTATACATTACTCTGTCATTTGAAATAAAGGTTTACACATGAATCCATTACTCCTATGATAAAGAAAATACTTTTTTTAAAAAAGTGGCGTCAGCCCGGATGAGCCTTGACAACACAACTCCTTATTCTTTAGTTATAAAGCCCCAAAATGCAAGATCAAATTGCTTGTTATGGCTACCTAGGATTGAGGTTGGCAATTAGTGGACAGAATAGTAAGTACTTAGAGGGAAGTGGACCGATTGCGATGCAATGGCAAAAACTAATATGTGAGCAGAAATACAACAGACACCAAGAAATATCTTAGAAACGGATCAGGTTTCAAACAACTCTGGTTTCTGATTTGCTCCCAGTACCTGCATAGGAAATCACATAAACTCTCCGGAATCTTGATAAGCTTCATTTGGTCACAAGCTTTTATTCCAACTCTTGTGGACATCCCTGGATTTAAAGGACAAAGAAGCACACTCCGGTGTCATTCAGTCTGAGAAAGGCTCTTCTGCATCAGCACTCATCAGCTGTTCACCTCCAGACAAGAGAATGGAAGAAAGGTAAGGCTGTATTCCAAAACCGTCAAATGTCCTGTTGTAGTATTTGGTCTGAGTTCACATCCCTGTGTTTCCACCACAGGGTTCCACTTGTAGGGGGTCATGGCACTTCCTTCAGAAAAAGGCAAGAGAGTGAAGTTTCCTTCTGAAAACAGGGTGATGGCTTAGCAAAGCTAGGAGTTTTGAATGGATTTCACTAGACCTTTCTCCCCTCTGATCCAGCTCATCATATTCTCCCCTTTATTCTAAACATTCAAATCTGCAGACATGAAGAGATTGAAAAGTTACACACAGGTATTGCTTACCACCGCTGAGATGCTATAAAGGGATTTCATTTTGCTTTACTTCCTTTTCAAAAATCGTCTGCTTTGTGTATCTCTCAAGGTTCCAGGAACAAACAGATGGTTCAAATTGGAATAATTGAGGAGTACTTTAAGAGGAGACTGCAAAGATGGGCAGGGTTAAGGGGAACTAGCAATGCATAGAAAGTGCCTTAAAGTAAGCAACAATAAAGCATTATTTCCACCCATAAGCTGTAATGGATAAAGGAGGGAGCAATTTCCAGACAGAAAACAGTCATAGCTATAACTGCAGTAGTAGGAAAAGATAATTATCAAGGGGAGAAGCACTGCCTTTGTCAACACATAGCCTTGAATAAGAGAGTGGGAGATGAAAAACTCAAATCCCTCTCCTCCTGCCCTCCATTGGACGGGTGTCACTCAGTAGCTCAGTGCAACCAGAAACAAGGAGGAATAGAATTCCACTGATGAGGTTTCCAGAAGCCACCCTCCTTGGATGCCCAGAAAAGGATAGAAAGAAGATACTCATTGTACATGAGACCATCTCTTATATCTTATGTCTTCCTACTCCCTGAAATTTTTCTCTATTTAATGTCATTCAGTGATTTCTCATCTCATCTCCATCAAAGTTATTTTTTCTTGCTTCCACTTTTATGGATCAATCACACACATTGATCAAAAATACATTGAAAGTTGATTTTGTGTGTGTGTGTGTGTGTGTGTGTGTGTGTGTAGTACCAGGGATTGAGCTCAGGATCTCACTCTTGCCAGGCAGGCGCAGCGCCACTGAACTACATCCCCAGCCCTGAAAATGGAATTGAATTTAAATATGGGAACATATTCCTTATTGATTACACAATAATTGAAGCTACTAAAATACAGAACCATTATAATAATGACCTTAACAAGAGGTTTATTAGAACTTTGTTGAAAGTTTAAAAGCATCAGACCCAACAACTTCTAGGAAACTGCTACTCCCAAACCCTAAACAGGTACCATGATCCTTTGTTCCTACGTAACTTTCAGGCATTTCAACATGCCAACCTTGGAGGAAACAATAGAAGGGAATTAAGGGTTATATTCATTCTATTTATCTATTTATTCCATGACCCAGGAGCTGGTTACTTCACTGTATTCACCTCCCAGTTGGTCACTGCCTGATAACATTTCACCATCAGCATTAAGAGAGGATGGGAAATAGAATCCTTTTCCTGACTTAAAACACAGAGAATCACTATTTATAGAAGAATGGTGACTGGGAGACTCTAGCAGTCTCTGCAGCCCCTGATGTTCTCTCAGACTCTGTGTTCATATGAAGATTTTTGTGGAGCATTCAAGAAAAAATGGGGCAGAGAACAGTGGAAAAGCCTCAGATAGGGCTCCAGAAGGCCAAGGGCTGGCACTGGTCCTGTTCTAGATGATGTGAAGCCTGGAAAAATCTCTCGATCTGTTTAAGCCTCCGTTTCTTAGAGTGTGAACTGAGGACATTATAGTAGATGATTTTTAGGAACACATGCTAAATATTGTGGTACTTTTAGTAAATATTGTGGTATTTTTAGTAAATAAAATAGACACGACTTAGTCCTTCATGTTTGATGATGCAGGCAAATACATCACACCCTAAAAACAGATGTTCAAACTAGAGTACCTTGAGTAGGGACAACAGAACTTCTGCTTTTCTTCCTTTTTCAGTTCATGCCAACCAACCAAAGCTGTGGGAGCTTGTTTCACTGAAAGAGTTCGTGATGGTTGCATTTACTGATGGATGCCTCTCTGTATCCTCAGGAGGATGTATCCCCTTTCCACCTTAGGGCCTCCTGCTCCAATGCATCCTCCAGATTCTTAAACTGTCACTGCATTTCTTGGGGGCAGCTGCTCTCACAAGAGTCCTAATTGACTTACACTCACATCTCTTTTATTCCCTATGTAATTGGCTTCTCTTCCTCTGTGTTCCTGAAGTTTGCTTATGCTAGATTTTATCCCATCCATAATTTTGACTGCCATCTTGAATATAACTTGGGAATTACTCCTCTGCTTTTCCTTCATCCATCTGTAATGAACACAGAGGGGTGATGGGACCGAAGGGCAGATGAAAAAGGTGAACCCAGGGCCTGGGATTTAGCTCAGTGGTGCCCCACCTGCCTTGCAAGTGCAAGATCCTAAGTTCAATCCCCAGTATCAGAAAAAAAAAAGAAAGAAAGGTAGAATCCAATAGGTTTAAACCTACACTAGGGGAGATCAGGGTCTAATCACTCATCCTGTTGGTGCTCTAATTCCATCCTTTGTAAAATGAGGATAATTCTATTTCTTACCTTAGAAAATACCTGGCAGGGCCGGGGATTTAGCCCAGTGGTTCCGCCGCCTGCCTAGCAAGCACAAGGTCCCAAGTTCGATCCCTGGTACCAAAAAAAAAAAAAGAAAATATCTGGCAGACTCTGTTTCTGTTCATTAATAAGATGTGAGCTGATCCTTTTTCTACAGTTGAAATCTGCATGAGCAACTCTCTTTACACTGCAAGTCCAGCACACTCTCTACTTCCCCTCATACACTCTTCTCCACAAAACTTTCATCAACAAAAAAAGCTCCCCTAAAGCTCTCTGGGGAAACAGGATGGGGTAGGTTTATATTATACACTCCACAGCATATCACTAAGTAGTCCTCCATTAGATATTCCCATCCTTGAAATGTCTCATATCAGTAGCACTCAGACCTCACTCTCAGTACTTCCTTTTCTATACTCCTGAGCAATTCAGCTCCAACAAAAAGCCTATTGCCACTCTGTGTACATACATGTGTCTATGTGCTCAACAAAGCTATGTTGGATCCTCACTTCAAAAGCACTTCAGAGGCTAACATGTTTCTGAGCACACACTGGTAATTCTCAATACACCCAGAGCTGTTCACAAGAATTGGGATGAATGAAATTTTCTTCATCTCATGAGTGTGTTCTAATCCCTTTCATTGTGTTTTTATTCTCCATTTAACAAAAAAAATCTAATACTGTAAGGCTCTCCATTCGTGTACTTATTTATTTACTGAATAAATATTGAGAACCCATGGACAGAAGCTAGACTGGGGATATTTTAGAAACGCTTTTTTTTTTTTTTTTCAGTATTTCCAGGCCTTCATCCTAAGCTACACTCCTGGGCTTAAGTTACTAAATTGCCTGGGCTGGGTTTGAATTTGAAGTCCTCCTGCCTCAGACTCCCAGACTGCTAGCATTACAGGCATGTGCCACCACACACAACTGGCTCTTGTTTCAAGGCCTGACACATTGAGCCATTTCTCAACCGAACCATATTCATGCCTACCCTGGCAAGAGCTTACACTACCCTCCTGACCCTAAAGAGGGTTCCTTGGGTTGAACCTTCTTAGTCATGGGGATGTCATGATGACCTCTCTGTCTGTCTCAGTTTCTGCACCAGGGAGAAAACTTCTTAACAAATCAGTGCTATTTTGCAGAACAGAATAGTGCTAGGTCTGTAACTTTAGCACACTGAGTGGGAGTGTCTCTATCATAGTGTATTTCCATGTCATTTAGAGGGACTGAGGTATTGGACAGAGTTCAGGCTGTTCAGACGAGTACTGAATTTCAATCCATATCCCAGGAATCCTCAGCTCTTAAAAGGTTATTTAATCTCTCCAGTCCTGTTTTCCTCCTCTTTAAAATGGAGAAAGTGACTCCCAAATAGCAGGGTGTTCTGACAATCAGGGGTCATGAAGCACGTGGTCACGTCTTGTCTGTCTTCCCAGGGTCACCACTAGAGGGCTTCTGAGCATGGATTCAAACACATCAGCTTGGGTGACAGAAGTCACAACAACGAAAAGAAAAGGTGAAACTGCTCCTGGAACTTTCAACGAAAAGGACCTGATCCCGAACCTGGTGATCCTCATCTCTGGCCTGGTTGGACTCGCAGGAAATTCGGTCGTGCTCTGGCTCCTGGGTTTCCGCATGCGCAGGAACGCCTTCTCCATCTACATCCTCAACCTGGCTGCAGCAGATCTCCTCTTCCTCTGCTGCCACATTATAGATTCCCTGCTGGTGGTCGTCAGATATTTCCATCCCCACGTTTTCTTCCTCCCCTGCTATAAGACCGTCATGATGTTTCCCTACATCACGGGCTTGAGCGTGCTGAGCGCCATCAGCACCGAGCGCTGCCTGTCCTTCCTGTGTCCCATCTGGTACCGCTTCCGCCGCCCCAAACACACCTCAGTCACCGTGTGTGTCCTGCTCTGGGCTACGTCTCTGCTGATGTGCATTCTGAACAAGTCTTACTGTGGTTTGCTGGATGTCAACGAAAAGACTGCCGAGTGTCTGGCAGCTAATTTTTCCACTGCCACATGTCTGGGTGTTTTAGTCCTGATTCTCTCTGGGTCCAGCCTGGCCATGCTGGTCGGATTCCTGTGGGGCGGCGGCAGGCAGATGCGGCTGACCAGGCTGTATGTGACCATCCTGCTCACCGTGCTGGTCTTCCTCCTCTGTGGCCTGCCCTTGGGCGTCTACTGGTTCGTGTTAATCTGGATTCACGATGACTTTAGTGATACTTTGCAATACGGTCTTTACCTGGCCTCAGTTGTCCTGTCCTCTGTGAACAGCTGTGCCAACCCCCTCATTTACTTCTTTGTTGGCACCTTCAGGCAGCAGCCGGGGAGGCAGACTTTGAAGCTACTTCTGCAGAGGGCTCTGCAGGACAGCCCTGAGGAGGATGGATGTGGAAGCCGAGTTCCTCAGGGAACCCTGGAGATGTCAGTAAGCAGAGAAGAGCAGTGATGAGGACCTTGGGCCCTGGTCAGTCATAAGTGTCTTTGATCTGCACTTCTCTAAGCGTCATGACCCCTGAGATACCTCAGTAATTCCACAAAGTCTTCAAACATATTTATTTTAACTGAGATTTTCTTATTTTTCTTGGAGAAAATAGTCTGAAATAAGAACATCTCCATCTTTTTTGACCTCAATAAATTTTTCATCTTTCACTGAATCGTTCTTATTGATGTTTTTCTTTGGAATTTTCATAACTGGAAAGAATCCCTGTTCAAACCATAAACTTCTTATTGATGACCATTCTCTACATGAAGTTATAAAAAAGATGATTTCTTATTTTTCTCTTAGACTATGTTCCAAAAGAATTGTATTGGTCCTGTGATTGGCATATTCCTGCAGGTAAAAAGCTTGGTTCTGAATGAATTTTGCTACCTTTGAATCTCATCTAACTCTGTGGCTTTGGGGAAGATAAAGTCCTTAGATGCAGACTCTCTACCGTGAGAAAATAGCCTATGAAACTTGGTTTGTAAAAAGTCTTCTGGCAGCATTTTTCCATTGCCTGTTAACAAGTTGGCCTTGTTTTCTTGGAGTTAAAATTGGTGGGTGGTGAGGCAACTTTCCGGTCCTCCTTCTGTCTCTCTTATACAGAAGCTATCTTTCTCTCAATAAATTTTCCTACTTTAAAAAAAAAAATTGGTAGGTAGTTATTTAGCTCTTTCCCCAAACAGTATGCAGTCTAGAAGTATGTCCCATGGATTGAAATCATGGGATACATAGACACACAGAGCCTGGGAGTACTAAATTAGAAAAAGTACCAGACATGGAGTCAGGGCATTTGAATTCCCAAGCTGACTCAATGGCAAAATTGAGTCACGTGCTCACACTCAGAAACCTGAGCAAACATTGAGGTTATCAGATTGCCAAATCTTAATTTTATGCCATTTATGATCTGGAATCTGTTTATAGAATAAGACAGGGTGATTTGTCTTTACCGTGAACATGAACTGAAAGCAACTACCATGAAAGCTTCAAAAGTTCATATTTCTACACCATCACTATAATCACAGTGAGCATATATGCTTCCCACCTACTGGGCTTGCACTGAAAAGATATTGTGGAATGTGTTCAGCACCAATATTGTCAATATACCAATGATGGGTATAAAAACAGATGAGCATTTATTGCTGTTCTCCAGGAGATTACAGTAGTGTGTGGAAAAGAAGTTATCCTTATGTATGCTGGTCATAATTGTGTAACTAGTCTAAATCCCTCCAGCATGAAAATACAGAGACAGAGATCCTGATGCAAGAAGAGTTCATTAATAAGTGTGAATATCACAGCCAGTAGATCAGGGAGGACTTCTTAAGATACTTAGAATTTGAACCAGTAGGGCCGGGGATTTAGCTCAGTGGTTTTGCCACCTGCTGCGCAAGCGCAAGGACCTGAGTTGGATCCCCGGTACCAAAAAAAAAAAAAAAAAAAAAAAAATTTGAACCAGTAATTCTACATTTACCAAACACGTACCACTGCCTCCTTTGTCAACAACATTAATTTTTCAGCTTATCAAGAAAAGATAAATAGAATTGGAGGAAATGGGAGAAGTGGTGATTCACAGTGACATTTTTAATACAAGCACAAAAGGAGCTCAGGGAAGGGTAATCAGTATGTAAATGAGTTTCATTCCTGGGCCACCCCAATTATTTAGTAAAGGTTACAAAATCTCTCCCTCTCTCGGCTCCTAGGGCAGAGGAGCTGAGCCAATCCCAGAGCCCAGAAGGAGGCTCCCCCGCTGCCATTCCACTGCTCCTAGGGCAGAGAAGGTGAGCCATGTGGGCACCAGAAGCACCTCCCCCCCACCCCGTGGAAATGAGAAGACATGTAAACAAGCCTCAAAAACAGACTTCCAGATCACCTACCCCAACCCCAAAGGTGAACAAGATGGAACAATCTGATACTCAACCACATGGGCTCCCTGAACTGGCAACAAAAGAGGATCTGGAAAAAATAAAATGAGAAATTGCTTCTCAGATAACAGCAAAGATTGTGCCCATAGTGCAAGACATGATTAATAAATTTAGAGAGGACACGGATAGAAAAATAGAGGATCTGAGGGACATGATGGAATCCCAACATAGGAAACAAATGGAATCCATAAAACAGATGCAAACAGATTTCCAGGAGATTTAAAACTCCATTGAAAGTCTACGCAGCAGAATGAACCAATGTGAGGACAGAATTTCAGATATAGAAGTTAAGATTGCAATTAGTGACCAGGAAAAGAAAAATTGCTTTAAAATTGTAAGGGACCACGAGAAAGCAAACCAGCAGCTGCTAGACGATGCAAAGAAGAATAACATAAGACTGATTAGAGTCAATGAAGAAACAGGAGATAGTACAAATGACATTAAAAAGCTGTTCATTGAAGTGATGGCAGAAAACTTCCCAAGCAGGGGAAAGGAACTTGACACACAGAGAAGTGAGGCATACAGGACTCCAGCTAGCCTTGATCAAAAAAAATCTACACATAGGCATATTATACTTAGGATTCCAGAAACCCAACAGAAGAACAAAATTCTACAAGCAGTGAGAGAAAAGAAACAAATCACATACAAAGGAAAGCCCATCAGAAT